GCGGGCGGGCAGCGGCAGCGGTGACGGGTGCACAGCCTGGTGCACCGTGCGCCTGCTGGCTACCCAGCAGGCGCAGCCACACTTGGATGTGCATGGCTGGCAGCATGGTTGGTAGCAAGAATGCCTGAGGGTGGCAACGGCAAGCGGGCGGCCACGGCATGCCGGGCGGCAGCTGGGCGCCCTGGTTGGATGGGAGGTGGCTGGGCAGGGGCCGGGCAGGGCGAGGCCCGCAAGCAGGGCTGGATGCATGCATCGGCTTGCGGCACGTGCACCACCGAGGGCCTCGTGCTAGGGCAGAGTTGGAGGCGGCTGGGCTGACTACCGGGCGGGCAGGCCCGCCGCGCACCCACCGCCCCAAACCCATAGCCACGACACACTGCAGGGCATGGCAGGAGCAGTGGGTGGCCTGCGGCGTCCTCACTTGTGTGTATGCGAAACCACGAGGCTGGACGGCAGCAGGAATCTGTACCAGGCACGTGGAGCACTGCCAGTGGGTGGGTGATCGCGGGGAATAGGGTCCTGGTGTTGCGGGGGCCTGGTTTGTGGGAAGCCGCCAGCTTGAGGCTAGTCATCCCAAAGCAGGCATCGCACGGCCTAATCGCGGCTTACGAACGGGCTTCAATCCACAGGCGAGGGGTGCACCGACGTTTTGCAGTCGAAGCTGAGCGCAGGGCGCGACAGCACGGCCAGCAGGGCGCAGGCCACAAATCTTTGTGGCATGTAGTCATGCCGTCCTCCTGCCTGGCAGGCAGCTGCGATTAAAGTCGTGCTTGCCGACTCCAAGAGGGCATGAATCAAATCCAGGAAGCGGTGCTCCAATCACGGCCCTGCTTGCCGCTGCCCGTCCGCGTCGCTGCCGCCGACGACGCTCCCGCTGCCGACGCTGCTGTGCTGCCGGCTGTAAGCGGAGCGGTCGTACGTGATCCCATAGTCCATGAACAGCTCCTCCCCGGGCTCGATGTCGCGCGCCGCCACGCACAGCAGCCCCAGGCCATCCCCGGGGTCGTCCTCCACGGTCACGTTGGTGCCGCCGGCGCCCTTGGGAGGCTCGTTGATATATGCCAGGGTGCAGTCGGTGGGCAGCCAGGGCAGGCCGGGGCCCGGCGCGGTGGACAGGCGCCCGCTCGCATCCGTGGGGTCCAGCAGCAGCCCCGAGGTTGTCCTGCGGCGGGGTGGCATGGCGGCGCGGCGGCGCGCCACAGCGTCAGCCAGCTGGTTGAAGGCCAGGAAGGCAGGGGCGGGGTTGGGGCCCCGCAGGCATTGGCAGGACAGGAATCCCAGCCAAAGAGTCGGGGCAGTCGGGGCTGCAGCTCCGGCGGCCTTCCAGCACCGCCGGGCGCCCCCACCTGAAGCAGTAGCCTGCCGCCGCGGGCGCGTAAGTGCACTTGTCCGCCATCCCCTGCGGCGTGCGCGGCCTGCCTGGGTAGGCCCCCAGCACGGTGCCCTCCTGGATACGCACGGTGGCAAACACGCCGCGCCCCGCCACAGGCGACGACCGCACCTGCGCGGCAGGGGAAGGGCAGCCGCAGGCCGGGGCCGGGAGGGGCCGCTGTCGCCCAGCACAACGCGGATCTCGCCCCCGCCACCTCAGCACAGCGCCAGGGCAGCCGCAGCCGCGCAGCCAGCGGGTACAGCAGGGCCAGGCCGCACCGCCAGCAGCTCGTTGAAGCACCAGCCCCGCGGCCGGTCGGGCCACACCGCCGCCGCGTATGCCGCCGCCCCCAGCAGCAGGAACTCGAGCGTGTACAGGGCGGGGTGCTGGGACACTGCCGCCTGCATGCTGCCGAGCAGCGCGTCAGCTGAGCTGCCCAGCCCATCGCCGGCACTGCCGGAGGCCAGGGCGGAGGCATGGCGTGGCCGCCGGCGCGTTCGCATGGGCGCAGCTGCTGGTGTGAGGGAGGCGGCGCTGCTGCTGCTGCTGCCGCTATGCCGCTGGAAGCCGCTACGGCCGGAATCAGTGGCCCTGGCAGTCACCCATGATGCTGCGACAGCGATGCTCTGTGCCATGAGACTGGCCAGGCCTGCAGAGGCAAGCGGCAGGGAGTCGTCGGGCTTCGAGGGTGGCGGGGGCGCCCAAGCTTGCTGGGCGGCCACACTTGAATCCTGCAGCTGAATTCAATCAACCATCTACCATCCAGCAGCAAGGCAGGGCAGCAGTGCGGCGCTCCCAACCTGCAAGTCGACTGGGAAAAAAGCCTGTCGGTGTCGGAAACGCCTTCTGCTGTGCTCTGAATATGACCACAGTACTCACGGCGCCAATGAGCCAGTGTGCTTGTGGTTTGACGCTGAAATGAGACCACAAACACCCACCTTTCTACAGTCCTCCTTGCATGTGCCACGGCGCTCGGGCCACCGATCTGCCATTGCTGCTGCTCTCAGGAGTGAACCAACACCGCCCCGGCTTGCAGAAAAGCAGTGATCGAGGGCCTGGCGATCATCTTGCAGGGCGCTGGTGTTTGGCGGCGCTGAGGGGGTGCAGAGCGCCTAGACATGTCGGGCATCGGCTCAGGGGTGAGCCAGGCCAGCCGCGCTCCACGACCCAGCCGAGCCCCGCCCTGATCACCGCCCCTGAGCTTCTCTTCCCTCCGCCCCCGCAGTATGACAATTCGGTCAGCACCTTCAGCCCAGATGGACGCGTGTTCCAGACGGACTACGCCCAGAAAGCAGTAGACAACAGCGGGTGAGGCGGGCTCCCGGCGCAGCGGGTGCCGTAGAGCTGGTGCCTGCATCGTTTGCTCCGCTGCATCTCATGCCACCCCTGGTGTCTCTGGACCCATGCAGCACGGTGGTGGGCATCAGATGCAAAGACGGCGTGGTCCTGGTGAGTGGCCACCTGCGCAGCTGGCTCCGGACCAGCCCTCCTCTCGGCGGCTCGCGCTGGGCATGCGCGGCCCCCTCCACCTCACCCGCCCCCCTTGCTCCCCGCGCCCTCCCCGCGCAGGGCGCCGAGAAGCTGATCATCAGCAAGATGCTGGTGGAGAACTCCAACCGCCGCACCTTCCCCGTGGACCGGCACGCCGGGGTGGCGACCGCGGGGGTGGCCGCCGACGGCCGCTCCATCGTGAGTCGGGCCATGAGCGAGGCCAACCAATACAAGTCCTTCTACGGAGACCCCATCCCGGGCCACGTGCTAGCGGAGCGGCTGGGCTCCTACGTGCACGTCTTCAACCTGTACTGGTGCGGCGCGCCGACGTGACGCCGCGGCGCTGCGCCGCGCTGCGCCACTGGCTCTGGCTCGGCGCCAAGGCGCCGCGCCCGGCCATGCCGCGGCCGCCACACCAGGCGCAGCCGCGCAGGGCGGCGCTGGGATGCGCCTGCTACCACCCCAGCGCCGGGCCCTGCCGCTGCTGCACGCAGCTGACCACCCCCACACGCCTGCCGCCTCTGCCGCAGGTACGTGCGGCCATACGGTGTGTCCACGCTGCTGGCCACCTACGGCAAGGAGGGGCCCCAGCTGTACCTGGTGGAGCCCTCAGGCACCAGCCATGTGAGCCGCTGACAAGCCGCAGGCACCTTTGCCCCACCCCATCCCTTGCTCGGCGCTGCCCTGCCCAGCCCATCCCTCGGCCTTTTGCACCGGCCATCTGCTTGGCATGCCGCCTGGGCAGGCACGCCCAGCATGCTGCCTGCGTCACCAGCCATGCCTGCCCGCCCCTGCCCCGCTCCCCACCCGCTCCCACTGCAGCGCTACTTCGGCACGGCGGTGGGCAAGGGGCGGCAGGGCGCCAAGAACGAGATTGAGAAGCTGAAGCTGGAGGAGATGAGCTGCAGGGAGGGCATCCAGGCGGTGGCCAAGATGTGAGCGCTCCTGCTGGGCGGTGCTGGTGCTGGCTGGGAGGCTGCTGGATGGCAGGCCTGCTGCACGCCCCTGGGCTGCTGTCGCTGTCTTCCGCTCTCCAGGGAGGCAGCGATGGGTGCGTGCCACCCGCCCACGGCTGGTCCCCTGTCCTCCTGCCTCCCTCGCGGCTGCCCACCCCCCGCAGCCTGCACCAGGTGCATGACGAGGAGAAGGGCTTTGAGCTGGAGCTGGCCTGGATCTGCGAGGAGAGCGGGCGCCAGTTCCAGCGCGTGCCACAGCAGCTGGCAGAGGAGGCGGAGGCGGCAGCCAAGGCGGCGTTGGAAGCAGAGGACATGGATGATTGAGGGGTGTGCGGGGCACGAGCGCCCCTTCAGGCGGGCACGGCAGGCGGGCTCCCAAGCTGGTTGGCGGCTGGCCTCCCTTGTCCCTTGGCTCGCTTCGTTCCGTGGGTTACCAGTTGGGTTTGGGTTGGGCGCAACTCGCCCGCCTCCCCTTGTATCACATAGCACAGTGCAACACATGGACCGACTCGAGCACAGGGCTGGGAAGGCGCAGAGTTGGGACGCAGGATGGGGCCGGGTGGGTCTCGGCAGCAGGGCGAGGAAAGAGCAGAAGTAAGACGAAGAAGACAAAACAGCAGCCAGTCACAGAGCTAAAGCCTACAAAGGTGTCTCAGCACGCTGCAGGAGCGGGGTGCCACGGGAGCGGCCCAAATAGGGGCGGCAGCAGCCTTAGGGGGTATCGATCAGGGTATGGTGTCTGGCGCCCTCGCAGTGCGTGCGTCACATCCTCTTAATGTTAGGGTTACGCGAGTGGTTTAGTCCTCAAAGGTGGTCTTCTTGCCGCTGCCGCCTGCGTCAATTGAGATGCGGGGGCCGCGCCCGCGCCCGCCCCTGCCGCCGTCACGGCCGCCGCGACCTGAACACAACGACGCAAGCAGACGGGGATGGGGACAGGCAGTGGTGAGAGGCGAGCTGTGGGGGTGGATGCAGTGCCCAAACGCGGCAGGCGGCAGGTGAAGATGGAGTAGGAGGGAGGGTTTGTGGATTGCTGGGTAGGACCCAAAGGGTAAAGGCGCCGACGGCGCTCCCCAGGGCAATGGAATCAGCATGCTGCGCGGGCCGGGAGGCACGGCCCCGTGCCTGGGCCCCGCCGTGCACGCCGCGGTGCGGAGACACGCGCGGCAGACGGCGGGAGGCAGCGGGGGCGCCTGCAACCGGTGCGCTCGCTCTGTGGCGTTCCCGAGGGCTATGTACCAACAACACCTCACAAAGGAGGACGGCACCCCAGCCGGGTGGCAGTGCGTGCGGCGACACACGCATCTGCCCCGCCAGTGTGCAGATGCAAGCGGATGCAAGCGGCAAGCAGCAAAGGGCAGGTGATGCTTAAAACCAATATTTGAGTTTCAGGTTACTCACCGCGACCGCCAAAGTCGCCGCGCCCGCGCCCGCGGCCGCCAAAATCGCTGCGGCCGCGGCCACGCCCCCGGCCGCCAAAGTCGCCGCGCCCGCGGCCCCGGCCGCCAAAGTCGCCACGGCCGCCGCGGCCACCGCCGCGGCCGCCGCCACGGCCGCCGCCGCTGCTGGGGTTGGGGTCAACCTTGATCCAGCCGCCTGCCACCTCGCTGCCGTCCAGCTCAACCGCCTTGTGCTGCAGGAGGAGGCAGGGAGGGAGCGACGCGCGGGCCAGGCACACGGCTTTGAGGAACGCAGCAGGAGAGTGCTGCAGGCGGTGCACGCGTGATGCAGCTGCCGGCTGCCGAGCATGCCTCAGTATTAAAAAGCTCGTTTTGTGAATCCACACGTACGCATTCGGCGTTGGATTAGGGTTGTATCATCCCCGGCATGCTCAGGCGGCTGCCGCGCGGCCCCACAGCCACGCGCCCGACGGCGCAGGCGCCCACATCATGCCAGCGGTGCAGAGGTGCAGGGGTGCAGGGCATGGCGGCATGCAGGCCCCCCCGGCACCGCCCCACAACTCCCAGGCAGCCCTCAGCCCACCCACCTTGGCGTCAGTGGACTCAAACTCGATGAAGCCGATGCCCTTGAGCTCGCCCGTGTCGCGGTCAGTAGGCAGCCGCACGCTCACCACGGCGCCCACCTCCCCAAACGCCTCGGTCAGCTGCCGGCGCACCTCGTCCTCGCCTGGAGAAGGGGCGGGCAGGCAGGCAGGCAGCCAGGGTGAGGGGCGCGGAGGGGAGTCGGAGAGCAGGCGTGGTGCAAGGTGGAGGAGCTGAGAGGTTGCACGGCGGCGGTGATGTTGGTCGCCACCAGCGCTGGCGCGCTGGCTGGCTGGGGGTGCTGGCCGGCTGGCTGGCTGGGCGCGGCTGCTCCTGGCCCCCAGGCTCACCCAGGGACGAGTCGTAGCCCTTGACAAAGATGGTGGTGCCGTCAGAGGTCGCAAAGCGGTTCTCGCCTGGTGTCCCTGCACCAGGCAGCGTGCGGCAGGCGGGGCGGGCGGTGAGCAGGCAGGTGTGGGGTCGTGCAGGCATGGGTGGTGCATGGTGCATGCGGCAGAAAGAGGGCGATGGGAATGACGAGGAGGGTGGGAGGGTTTGTGGATTGCTGGGTAGGACCCAAAGGGTAAAGGCGCCGACGGCGCTCCCCAGGGCAATGGAATCAGCATGCTGCGCGGGCCGGGAGGCGCGGCCCCGTGCCTGGGCCCCGCCGTGCACGCCGCGGTGCGGAGACACGCGCGGCAGACGGCGGGAGGCAGCGGGGGCGCCTGCAACCGGTGCGCTCGCTCTGTGGCGTTCCCGAGGGCTATGTACCAACAACACCTCGCACAGAGGGAGGACGGCACCCCAGCCGGGTGGCAGTGCGTGCGGCGACACACGCATCTGCCCCGCCAGTTCACTTGTTTTCAACACCCACCCAAAGTGATGCAAGACTCGGCACCTCGCGATTTCCCGCCCCGCCACACCTCCCAAACCACCCCCCTCTCCACCTCGCCCCCTCCCCTCCCCTCCCGCCAGCCAGCCGCCAGCCAGGCCTGCATCCGCACCTCGCCGCCACCCCAGCCCAGGCCAGCCCAGCGCAGCGCAGCGCAGCCCACAGCCCCACAGGCCCTGGACCCCACTCACGCTGCTGGCGCTCGGTGGTGGACTCGATGTACAGCTCCCGGTCCATCAGGCTCTCCCCGCTCAGCGCCGTCGCCTTGGCCGCGCCCTCCAGCTCCTCAAACTGGACGTGGGCAAAGCCCTTGGCGCGCCCCGTGTCGCGGTCGTACGCGATGCGCACCTCGGCGATGGGGCCGCACTCGGCAAAGAACTCGCGGATGGTGTCCTGCGGGAGGAAAGGAAAGGAGGAGGGGGCGGGGTTTAGGGTGGTGGTGGGGTAGGAGGTGCGGGAGGTCTGGTGGGACAGGGCCTCGTGAGGCCAGCGGCGAGCGATGCAGGGCGCGTGCAGCATGGGTGTGACACACGTGAGGCAGGAGAGTGCAGGCGCGGCTGGAGGGTGGGGCAGGGCAAGCGCTCAGCGGGCCCAGTGTCTGGCAGTGAGCCAGATAGCGGTGGCAGGAATGCACCGGGGGGGCAGGTGCGTTCATCACGGCGCATGCATGCTCGCGGCGCGGCAGCGCAGCAGGTGCAGGCGGGGCGGCGGGGTGTTGCTCAGAGGGCCCCGCGTCTGGCAGGCGCCAGCAGGGCGGTGGCAGGAAACCACCGTGCGGGCTGGGCTCATCACAGCAGGGCGAGGGGCAGGCGCAGGGATGGGGGCCGCAGCATATGCGGATGCGGGTGTGGGCAGCAGGGCAGGCTGGCGCGCGGCAGCCCTGAGGCGAGCGCCCACCTCCTCGGCGGCCCAGGGCAGGTTCTTCATGAAGATGGTGCGGCTGCCGTTGGCGGCAGACACATCCACCGCGCTGCCGTCGGCCGCCTTTTTCTTCTTGGCCGCCGGCTTCGCCTCCTCCTTACCCTCCTCCTCCTGCAGTGATGGGCAGGTGAGCCGGCAGGAGCAGGGTCAGCCTGGCGATGGCGCGGCGGCAGCCGGCAACCGGCCGGCTGGGCTGCCTGCGCCGAGCCCTGCGATGCAAAAGGCCCACCGAGCCAAAGACACACACCGAGGCAGCCCGCCCAGGCCCGCACCTCGTCCGAGCTCTCCTCCTCCCCAGACTCCTCCTCCTCCTCAGAGGACTCCTCCTTGGCCTTGCCGTCGGCGGCGCGCTTCACGCCCTGCTTGGGCTTCTCTGCAGGCAGCCAGGGGGCGGAGCAGGGCGAGCAGCAAGGGTGGGCGAGCTGGGAGGCCCACAGCAGCAGCGGCAGCGGCGGCTGTGGAGGTGCGCGCGGCCAGCGGGTGCTCAGTTTATGGGTGGTGATATGATAATTGTCGTCAAGCTTTGTGAACTTTGGTGGAGCTCGCATTCAGACGAACGAGACAACCATCATCGCACCGCGGCAGTAGCAGAGGAAAGCGCCGCGCCGGCCAGGTGCACTGTGCAGCAGGCGGGGCGGCATGGAGGAGGCGGCCGCTCACCCGCCTCCTTCATCTCCTCATCGTCGGAGCTCTCCTCCTCAGAAGACTCCTCCTGCAAGGGGGCAGAACCAACAGAAGAAGGAGGGCCCACGTCAGCAGCCAGGCGCGCTCGCCAAAATCGGCGCGCCGCGCTGCCAAGGGCGACGGCGAGCAGGCGAGCGTTGCGGCGCGGGGCGCGGCGGCGGGCGGGCGGCCCGCACCTTGCTGCTGGCGGCCTTCGTGGCGGCGGGCTTGGCCTCCTCCTCATCCGAGCTCTCCTCCTCCTCAGATGACTCCTCCTCGGAAGACTCCTTCGCGGCGGGCTGCAGGGGAGGAAGGTGGGGTGCAAGGCAGCGTGGCAGGCGGGTCAGCAAGCCAGCAGAGGCTGCTGCGCGGCGGGGACGCCGGCAGCACGCTGTTGCGGCAGGCCCTGGGCTTCTGCGCTGCTCCTGGAGGGGTGGGCAGCGTGGAGGGAGGGGCAGGAGATGCACTGGCAGGGGCAGTCAGGGGGGGTACCTTGGCTGCCTCGGCAGCAGGCTTTGCGGGCGCTGCCTCCTCGTCGTCCGACGAACTCTCCTCCTCGCTGCTGCTGGCCTCCTCCTCCTCCTCCTCAGAGGACTCCTCCTCAGAGCTAGATGCAGCCTGGCGAGCAGCAGAGCGGCAGGTGGCGCATGGCGGCGGCCCCGACCGCGGCGACGGGACGTGTCAGGCGATGGGGAACGCGCAGACGGTCGAGCTTGCCGGGCATGCAGCGCGAATAGCGGCAGCACCAGGGTGCGTATGGTGCAGCGGCAGCCGGGGCAGGCGGGGCCGGTGGTGGCGGCGCACACCTTGGCCTTGCCGTTGACGGTAGCGGGCTTGGCGGGCTCCTCCTCGTCGCTGTCCTCGTCGCTGCTCTCCTCTTCGCTGCTGCTCTCGGCCTTCTTGGCAGGGGCGGCCTTGACCTTGGCAGCCGGCTTGGCAGGCTTTGCAGGCTCCTCGCTCTCCTCGTCGCTGCTCTCCTCCTCGGAGCTGCTGCTCTCCTGTAAAGGCAGAAGGGCCGGGAGGGGCGCAATGTGACAAGGGGAGCCGGCGGCATGCATTGCGAGCCAGCGGATCGGGTGCGCCACGGAGGTCCTACTCCAATTGGGGGTGCTGCAGACGCAGCCCCACCGATGCAGCGGGCCGCCGGAGCGCATGCATGGCCGCGCGGCATCGCAATGGCGGCGGCGTGGGCACCCGGCCCCCAGCCCTCACCTCCGACTCGGACACCTGCTTCTTCTGGGCCGCCTTCTTCTTCTTCAGAGACTCCTGCTCCTGCTGCTTGGCGATGGCAGCCGTGGCTTTGCCTTTGGCCTTCGCCATCGTGATGGGGCTGTTTACAGAAGGGAGGGCGCCGAGAGGAGAGGCCTGGGTACAAGCTTACTCCAAACAATGCGCGAAAGAGGGCGATGCATGCACCAAACGCGCCGTTCCACCCCCAAACCGGCCGGGGTAGCACTGCATGGGGCCCCGCCCGGCCCAATTTGCGAGCCAGAGGTCCTCAATTTACACAGGAGGAAGCAGGAAATAATTGGGCATCGGGGGGCTGCAACGCCCGCGCAGCCCAAGCGAGCCGCCACGGCGGCAACCGCCAGCCGTCACGCCGGCGGCTTGTAGTCGGCATGCGCCCACTCTGGCGGCTCTGAGCAGAAGCTCCAGCCCTCTTCCTGGCAACTGTAGCTGCGTGCGTGCAGCCAGAGGGGTCGCAAATCCAGCGGATAGTCCCTGCGGGACGAGGGGCAGGGGCAGCGGGGCTCGGAAGCGGCGCGTGGCAACGCACTCGCGCGCCCAAATGCACCCGGTGCCGGGCCTTTCATCTGCGGCCAGCATGAGCATCAAGCATCAGGCACCAAGCAGCCAGTCATCCACGCACTTGGGCGCGTAGTAGGGGCAGTGGATGCACATGGAGTCGCACAGCTCTGGCGGCAGCTGGAACTCTGGCCGGCTGCGGAAGGCCCGGGTCTGCCCATACCCGCCCTCCTCCCCGCCGCCCTCCTCACCCACCCCGGCAGCCTCGCCGCCCGCTGCCCGCGCTGCTGCTCCCGCCTCATCCACCGCTGCGCCTGCTGCCGCTGGCACCTGCTGCGGAGCGGCCTCGGCGGTAGTCGGCGCCTCGAGCCGCGCCCGCTTGCTGCACGCCGCGCCCGCCGCGCCAGGCACGCCCTCAGCACCGCCGCTGGCACCAGCCGCGCCGTTGGCGCCACCTTGGCTGCGCTCCCGCGCCCGGGCGGTGGTCCAGTGCACGCCCAGGTGCTGCGCCATCTGGCGGCTGGCCAGGGGCCCGCCGTAGGGCCCGCCGTACTGTGTGTCGTTGGCAATGGGGTGCCCCAAGTGCTGCAGGTGCACTCGTATCTGGTGGGTGCGCCCCGTGCGCGGCCTGCGCCAGGCCAAGGGGTGGGGAGGTCAGGCAGGCAAGGCTTGTGGCGAGTCCTGATGGCACGGACAGCATACATGGTGCTCCAGAGTGTGCAGGAGACAGCCGGCTGCTATCTATGGCTCGCCTGCACTCCACGACGCTCGTCAGCCCGTCCTCTGCCACGGCCAGCAGGCGGAACTCGGTGCGCGCGGGCTTGGCGGGGCCCTTGCTGGGCTTCTTGGCGGCCGCCGCGGCCGCCGCCGCCGCCGCCGCCGCCCGCTCCGCCTTGGCCTGCTTCCGCAGCTTCTTCTCAGCCTTCTGCGCCTGCTTGCGCAGCCGGCGCTCCTCCTGCAGGCTGCTGCCAGGCTGCGCCGGCGTGTCCTGCGCCGCCAGAGGCTCCTGCTCATCCTGCTGCTGCTGCTGCTGCTGCACGTCTTGCGCCTGCTGCTTCGCCTGGGCGCCAGCAGCGCCGTCTATCGCCCCATCATGCCCGTCTGGTGCCGCCTCGCCCGCCGCTGCCTCGACTGGTGCCGCTGCTGCCTCTGCATTTGGCACCGGCGCCTCCACAGCTACCGCTGCGCCGGGCTCGGCCGTGGCGTGGTTGCTCACTGGGTCCCAAGCCAGCGGGACATCCACAACGATGGGCTCCTCTGCAGCCAGGCCAGGCTCAGGGCAAACACGCCAAAGTTTCAGGCCTTCCACTGGCGCTTGCCCTGCCACCATGCATGCATGAGGCTACAAGGGCATGCGACCCGCTCCACGCTGCCCTCACTCATGTACGCAGGCAGTACACACACCTGTGGCAGGGAAGCGGCCCAGCACCCGAGCCACATACACCTTCTCCACAGCATGCCCCTCGATCCTGCCGCACAGCGCCGCCGCCGCCGCCGCGCTGCGCGCAAACAGCAGCAGCCCCGACACCGGCTTGTCCAGCCTGCAGACGGGAAGGGGCGCCGGGGCATGGTGGGAGCAGTCGGAGCGGATCAAGCATGGCGATACGGGCAGGCGCGTGTGCCTCGTGCCTTGACTGGGAGCTGCAGGCTGCTGCCCAGCATCAGGCCGCCCCGCTCCTCGCCTGTGGATGGGGAAGAGCGGGCCGAGGTCTGGGCACTCCGCTGTGAGGATGCCCAGTACCGTGTTCTTGCGGTACTGTCCCGCCACGTGTACCGGCATGCCGTGCGGTTTGCACACCGCCACGGCATCCTCGCTCTGCCCCACCACCTGCAGCGGGGAAGGCAGCGGCAGCAGCAGGAGCTGAGCCTGCTCGGCGCGGAAGAACTTTTTCTAATCTAGGTTCCAAACTCCGCTGGGCAACCCGTGCTGTGCTGCGCTGGGCAGCGAGAGGCTAAGGCACAGCCGCGGGGCGCACCTGGATGCTGCCAGCAGGCACCGGTGCCTCGTGGCGGTGGATGAAGTGGCGAATGCACTGCCCGTCCTTGAGCGGCGTCTCGGCAGTCACCTGCGAACAGCGCAGTGAGCCTGCCATGGTGTGCATGTATGTCACATATACCCAGTCCGTCCTGGAGGCCGGCACATGCCATCCATGCACCTCTGGGCGCCAAGGAAGCGGAGCATGCCGGGAGCCCAGTTTGACAGCCCACCTGGCAGCCCTCCACCCGCAGCCGCCCATCGGCCAGCGCCTGCTGGTAGTACTGCCGGTCACGGGCAGGGAACTCCTGCAGTTGCGCACGGGCCTAGGCTCGGGAAGCGGCTGCAGCAGCAGCGCCAGCAAGAACAACAGAGTGCAGCAGAGAGGCTGTCCAGCACACCACCAGCTGCCGCTGGAGCCGCCCACCCGTGTGAAGATGTCGATGATGTTCTGCCCAAACCAGCGCTGCCGCATGTTGCAGCAGAATTCAAAGTGATACGGCTTGACCTGCGATGGGGGTGGTGCGGCAGGCTGGCGAGGTGTAGAGGCATGCTGCCGCCTGCCGCCGCCTGCCGCCGACGGCGTGGCGGGAGGACCCCTCGAGCGCCTGGCGGTGCAGTCGAGCGGCGCGCTTACCAGACGGTACCCATTGACGACCACATAATCCTCCGGCTTGCTGGGAGAGTCTGAGCTCTCCACCTGGAGCCCCGCGACATGCTGCGAGTGAGTAGAGGCCGCCATCGCTGGCCTTAGACCGTTGAACTACTAGCAAACGATTCCCTCCATCAAATCACAGCGGAGTGGGCCGGCGAAAGGCTGTGTCTGCCTTTCGCCAGCCCGCTTTCCTCCCCGGCTTTCTCCGACCAATTGCGGAATCAGCAGTGGTTGTTTTTATCGGGTGAATAACCAGCCCTTCCCTGTAGGTGTCGATAAATTTAAATCTGAATCAAAATGGCCGCAGGGGCGAAGGGATTCAGAATCCGCACGGTGTCCTACTTCGTTTCCAGCCCTCAGGACAAGGCTGGCTGGAATGCCGAGATCGCAAAGGCAGCAGTATTCCTCAAGCGCGCGCAAGTTCTTTTTGAGAGCCATGGTAAATGCCGCCCCCACCGCCTGGACACGCCGATGCCGACAGCGCAGCAACTTACTGTTCTTCCTGACGCTTTGCACATGCGCAGGCTACGAGGTGCAGACCGTGCGGATCGTCACTCATGCCCTGTCGGCTGCGCAAACCGGCGAAGAGGCGGCTGAGACCGCCGCCATGCTGGAGCGGCTGTGCCTAACTTGCGGCATCTCCTTCCTCAGCCTGGGCTGCACCTCTGATGAGAGCCTGCTGGAGCAGGGCTGCTTCTCCAAAATCGCTGCCTGCACCCGCTACACAAGCTGCTCCTTCAGGTGGCTGCGGCAGGGCGTGTGGGCCTGCAGGCTGTCTTCATGGCACCCACAGGCACCGATGTGCCTGCCTCCTGCATGCTGAACGTCCCTGCCTTGCACTGCCCTGCCCCATGCAGCTGGCAGCCGGGCATGGGCCAACGACAGGCGCAGCAGCTGGCCGCCGCCATCCACGGCCTGGCGGAGCAGACCGCCGGCGCCGGCAACTTCCGGTTTGGAGTCGGGTTCAACTGCCACCCAGGCATCCCTTTCTTCCCAGTCGCAGCATCAGCGGCAGATGTCTCTGGCTTTGCCATCGGAACTGAAAACTCGGGGCTGCTCTTCCGGGCATTCCAGCAGGCAGTGGCGGACAGCGCCAGCACCACTGCCGCCTGCAGCGTGCTTGCTGCAGCACAGAGACAGCTGCAGGCAGTGATGACAGCTGCGCTGCAGCCGGTGCAGGAGCTTGCAGAGCAGCTGGCGGCGGCCCATGGGCAGCCCTACCTGGGGATAGACGCCAGCATCGCTCCCGCCCTGGAGCCTCCCAGCATACCAGCCGCGTATGAGCTGCTGGGCCTGGGGCGGTTTGGCGGCAGCGGCACGCTGGCGATCTCAGGTGTGTGCACGCCAGTCTGGCCATCTCGCCATGCTGCTGCTGCTGCGATCCTGGCAGCTGGGGCGGTCTCACCGGGCCGGCAATCTGTCGAGGACTGCATGGTACCGCTCCTGGGCCTGGCACTGAGGCGCTGCTGACACGCGGCCCGCCGTGCCCGCCTGCCTCCCTCGGCCATCTCATCCCTGGCCCCAGAGCGCATCACCGCAGCCCTCAAGTCGCTGCCCATCAAGCTCTGCGGCTACAGCGGCCTCATGCTGCCCGTCTGCGAGGACAGCGGCCTGGCGCAGGCGGCAGACGAGCGGCTCATCAGCGTCGGCAGCCTGCTGCACTACTCGGGTGGGCCTGGAGCCTGCCTGCCGCCTGCCTGCCTGCCTGCCTGTCAGTTGGTCTTCCCTGCGCTCAACCCGGCTGCTTCGAGAGCTGGCGGCCCTCCCAGGTTGCTTGTCCTGACCAGCTGCTGCTGCCGCCTCAATGCCCCTTCCCCACCCCTGCCACGCAGCGGTGTGCGGCTGCGGTCTCGACACGGTGCCCGTCCCCGGGGCCACGCAGGGCCAGCCGGCGCAGGAGCGGCAGGCGCTGCTGGGCGCCACGGCTGCGCTGCTGCTGGATGTGTCGGCGCTGGCGTTCCGGCTCGACAAGCCACTGAGCGTGCGCCTGCTGCCGGTGCCTGGCGCCAGCGCGGGCCAGCAGACTGCCTTTGACTCGCCCTACCTCCTCAACTGCGCCACCCTGGCCCTGGACTGATGGACGCATGTGCGGGTGTAACAGTGCCGGCATGGGAGTGCTCATCTGGGCTGCCAGGCAGGAGGTCGCGCCCGATTAGCACTTTATGGGGGCAACATGGTAGGGAAACAGCAGTGCAGAAGCGGAGGCAAGAGAAGCGGAGCAGAGGGATGATATCACTGTGGGTAATGCTGGAAAAGGAAATCATCAACTGCTGGTCCTAGTAGCAACAATTCCCTCTAAGCGGGCGCTCAGGCCAGCACAACCGTCGCCGCCGGCTCCTCGCCCGCGCCAAAGCGCAGCGCATAGGCCCCGCAGGGTGGCGCCGCAGGGTCCTCCCCAAACCCGGCCCAGCTCGAGCGACTGCTTTCCGCCAGGCGCAGGGTGAAGCTCAGCTGCTGCGCCTCGCCGCCGTCCAGCACGCGCGTGCGGCGGTAGGCCACCAGCCGCCGCACCAGGTCGGTGTGGCTCGCCTCTGAGGAGCAGCCCGAGGCGGCCAGCGTGGCGCGCGGCTCAGGGCCCTCCTCCCGCCCAGGCCCCACATACTCCATAAACACCAGCACACTGGTGTCAGCGGGCATGGCTCCCGCATCCGAGCTCACGACCGTGACGCCGGCCGTCACCGCAAGGCCGCCGCCGCCGCTGCTGGCGCCGCCGGCGGTCCCGCCGCCGGCCGCGGCTGGCTGGCTGTCATCCTCGTCATCGGTGTCGGCGCCCAGGGTGATGGAGGGGCCTGTGAGGTTGAAAGGGACGTAGCTGAGGCCGTAGCCAAAGTCATACAGGGGCTCCTCTCCTTTCCAATACCGGTACGTGCGGCCTGCGGGGGGGCACCCAGCACCCAGCACAGCGGCAGGGTGAGGCAAGCTTGCGCAAGGGTAGCCAGGCAGGCATGTTCAGCCAGATGTTTGCCCCTGCTGGGCTGCCACAGCAGCAGGAGGTGCACCAGCTGGCGCCCTGCCTCCCTGGCACCCACCCGGGTAGTCTCCAGCCGCCCGCATGCGCACATCCACCATCGAGAGCTGCTTGGTGTAAGAATTGCGGTACCACGTCACCGGCAGCCGGCCTGCACGCAGGGGTGCGCAGCAGGGCGCCAGCCGGCTGTCAGGGGCGCTCAAAGATGCAAGGGAGCCGAGGAGGCACCGACAGCGGCAAGGTTTATGACAACACACACACACACACACACACACACACATGCGCATGCAACGCAACACATGCCTGCTGCCTCCCAGCCCCCGCAGCCCCGCGTGCCCGGCTGCCACCCACCCGAAGGCGCCAGGCGGCCAAAGATGATGTCTGCAACCGCGCCCGCGCCGTGCTGGCCGGGGTGCCACATGGACACGATGGCGCCCACCCGGGGCGAGGCGTCCATGTCCGACACATCCAGCGGTCCACCGTGGTTGAGCACCACCACCAGCGGCTTGGTGGTGGCCTCGGCGACGGCCTTTGATGGCAGCCGGGGGGGCAGGGCAAGGTGGGGGGTGGGGCAGGGAGGGGGCAGGGCAGGTTGCAGGGCAGGTCCGCTGGTGGGTCCGAGGGCTGGGGGTGCGGGGTGGCAAGGCAGGGAGGCCGCACAGCGCGATCCGAGGCCGCCTGCGCACCTGCCACAGCTTCACTTGCTCCTCCTGCAGCTTCAGCGTGGTGCGGTCGTACCCCTCACCCTCGACCAGCACATCGTAGGAGTGCTTGGGGAACTGCGGGGCATGACAGGCAGGCACATGTGAAGAAGAGCAGGCGCATGGGCAGGCGTGTACAAGTGTGTGTGTGGACCGTGGCAGCGAGGCGCATGCTGCCCTCTGCAGGTTTGTTTGCACCAGGGGCAAAGGGGAGCGCAGCGGGCTGGGGTGCCCGAGCGTCGGGCCTGCCAGCCGGCCCCACCTGGAGCGTCTTCCAGTGCGTCTGCTTGATGGACATGCGGGAGCCCAGGAACAGGATGCAGGCATCGGCAGACTGCAGGGGGGCAGGGGGACAGGGCCCAGGCAGGGCACGAGTGAATGGCGGCATGCAGCCCCGCGTGTGTGTTTGTGTTTTTGGTTTGTGCCAAGGGAGTCTGGGCCCTGGACTGGGCGTGGTGCGCCCGGGCTGCCCCGGGAAGGCCGCCGCGCTACGGCGCCACGGCTCCGCAGCCCCTCTCCCACCTGGCAGCTGTCAATGTCTGCCTGCGCGTTGGCCTTGCTGTACTGCAGCGCGGTACCATTATTGTACAGCACCTTGGCCCCTGGTACCGCATCCTGGATGGCCTGGAGCGGCGTGGTGATGGGGCCCGCGGTTGCGCCGTAATACTTGCTGCGGCAGGGGCGGGGGCAAAAGGTGGGGCAGGGTTGGAGGGCGGGTGCGGGGTTCAGCCGCTGAGAGGAGGCAGGGCAGGGCTGGCACCCAAGCTGCCTGCGGGCACGCCTGCGTGGCTGCCGGCGCAGGGCTGGCGGGCAGCCAGGGAGCGGCCCAGGATGACGCCAACCCCCAGCCGCGGCGGCGGCGGCGGCGGCGCCAGCAGGTGTTGGTGGGGTCGGCTGCCCCCAGGCTGACTCACCCCAGGATGTAGGTGGGCTGGTCTGCAAAGGGTCCGATCACCGCCACCTGCTTCATGGCGGCGGGCCTCAGCGGCAGCGTGCCCTGCGCAGCGGGCGGCGGCGGCAGCACGAGGTCTGGCTGGAGGGAGAGAGCAGCGGCGGGGGCGGAGAATGCAGGTGCCTGCCTGGCTGAGGAAAGGTTGGCCGTGGCTGGCCGCGCCTGGCCGTGGAAAGGCAGTCCGGCCTGGCCAGCCGGCGGGGACTTCCCGTTCCCCGCCACCCTGGCCTGCCTGCCCTGCACCCTCCCCCTCCCCGTCCCCTCTTCGCAACCCCGCCCTCCCTTCACAGCAATGTTGCCCCACCTCTGCATTCTTGAGCAGCACGGTGCCCTTGGCGGCGATCTCTCGCGCCGTGTCGCGGTGCGCGGCCCGCCCAAACACGCTGCCATCCAGATGGTCAAAGGGCAGCTCGCTGAGCGGGTTGAAGTGGCCCTGCCTGCGGGCGGGGCAGGCCCCAGGGCGGCGGCAGTGGCGGGTGGGTGGCCGGGGAGGCAAGTCGCCCCGCCAGGCCCCTGCGCTTTCTTCCCAGGCCCCCTTGCATTGCGGCCAAGGCCCCCAGCCCCGGCGCCCTAGGCTGCCGCGGCGTCCTTCTGCGCTGCCGCGGGCCTCTTGCCTGACGCGGTTGTGCAGCACGCGGCGTACCGCCGCATCCAGGTCCCGCTGGCTCACATCCCCGGGCTGCAGCATGTCAAACAGGTGGCAGGCCATGTCGGTGCCCGCCTGCACCGCCAGCGCCGACGCCCGCCGCTTGTCGCCGCCGGCAAAGTGGGGCCCCTTGGGGCGCGGCTTGACGATGCGGGTCAGCGCTGCGCGGCAGGGGGGCGGGGCGGCGCGCGGCGTGGGTGGGGGAGGCGGGCGGGCACGTTGGCACGCAGCAGGCGCCAGATCCTGCAGCGGCGCCGTCCCAGTGCAGCTGGGTGGAGGAGCAGCGCCGCCAGCCGGCACAGTATACCGTACCGCACCGTACAGCACAGTACTGTACAACAGGCGGCCCATGCCGCACGCCGCGGCTAGCAGCGGGGCGCGGCCGCCCGCCTCACCCGTGCAGTCGGTGACCACCATGCCGGCGAAGCCCAGCTCGCCGCGCAGCAGGCCCGTCAGCAGCGGCTTGTTGACGCAGGCGGGGAGGCCGTTGAGAGAATTGTAGGAGCACATGACGGCCAGGGCGCCGCCCTCGCGCACGCACGCCTCAAAGGGCGGCAGGAACGAGTCGCGCAGGTCGCGCTCGGTGATGTTGGCGTCAAAGGTGTGGCGCGTCACCCCCTCCCACCCCTCGAGGTCGTTGCCGATGAAGTGCTGCGGGGGGGCACGGGGTGGGCGGGCTGTGTGCTGTGTGCTGTGTGCTGTGTGTGTGTGTGTGTGGAGGGCAAGGGAACTCGTGAGTGTGCTGGCTGAGGGCAGGCACCAGGTGGGCGGCGTGAGGTAGCTTAGGGTGGCATACAAGATGGCTCGAGGTGGCTCGAGGCGGGCAGGGCGGCCAGGTCGGCCAGGGGCACTGGCCAGCCCGCCGCAGCCTGCCAGTGCCCCTGCACCACCACCACACACGATCGCCGACACCATCCCCCCAGCTCGTCCCCAGCCGCTGCCGCTGCCGTACCTTGCAGGTGGCGACGGTCTTGATGTAGGTGTCGGTGCCCGCCCCGCCCTGCAGGCCCCTCACGTGCGCCACAGCCATGTTGGACTGCAGCAGCGGGTCTTCGCCAAACGTCTCCGCCATACGCCCCCAGCGAGGGTCCCTGCAGGCCAGGCAGGCGCAGGCAGGCGGGCAGGCAGGTAGGGGCAGGTGGGCTGCTGGCTGGCGCATGCTGGTCGTGCAAGCTGGTCGGGCAGATGTCGCTGGGGGTGCGCAGCCAAGCAGGCGGCAGGCAGCAGCGGCAACCCAGCCGCGGCCTGCCATCATCAACACCACGCACACCCCACGCACACACCATGCCCACACACCATGCACAGATCGTGCGCACACCATGCACACACCACCGCCCACCTGACGATGTGCACGTGTGGGCCGAAGCAGTTGCTGTAGGCGAGGGGGCCACCCGCCCGCGCCCGCCGGTTGTACTGCGCCCGCATCTCGTCGCCCACCTGGGACGCCGCCCGCAGCGCCAGCCCGTCGTCAAACGTGGCCGCCCAGGCGATGTTGATGGGGTAGATGGTGCCGCCGTGGGGCAGGTTGCTGCCCGGCCTGCCCACCTTCATGCCGTGAAGGCACTCCTCCTGCAGAAACGGCAGGGTGAGAGGCGGGGCCGCGGCGGCAGGAGGCGCGGGTCGGCGGCAGCCCGGCGAGCGGCGGCGGCGGACGCAGGCGCGCGGCGCGCCGGGCGGTGAGGAGGCAGCAGCCGGGTGGCGGCGGCGGGTCCGGCGCGGGGTGCAGGCTGCCAGCCAGGCAGCCCGCCAGCCAGCCAGCCAGCCAGCCGCCCAGCCAAGGAGCCAGGCAGGCAGGCAGGCAGGCAGGCAGGCAGGCAGGCAGGCAGCAGCCCGCCGCCCCGGCGCACCTGCCAGTTGAACTGCGGCACCGCCAGCTCCGGGACGCCATTGCCGGTGGCGCTCTGCAGCTGGTCCACCTTCTGCTGCGGCGACAGGCGCGCCAGCAGCGCCTCCGCACGCTGCCCCACCGACAGGCTGGTGTTCCACCAGGGGAACTCGGCAGCGTCGGGGCCGGCGGCATCCACCACCCCAGAGCCGCCGTCCTCCACCTCCACATCCTCCTCCTCCTCGTCCTCCTCGCCGCCCTTGGCAGCCGCGCCGTTCTTCTTGCCGCCGCCGCCGCCGCCGTCCTTCCCGTCCTTCTTGCCACCACCGCCCGCGCCTGCCTCTTCCTCCTCCTCGTCCTCAGCGGCCGGCGTCTTCCCCTTGTCCTCTGCTGCCTCCCCCTCCTCCTCCTCCTGTTTGGCATCAGCTGATGGCTCGCCCTTGCCCCCTCCCTTCTTCTTGCCCGACCAAGCCGCGGCTGCCTTCTCTTTCTCCTCCTCAGCCGCTGCTTCCGCTGCTGCCTCGTCCTCCTCCTCCTCAGCCGGCTGCTGCGCCTTGCCTGCCTTGCCGCCTACCTTCTTCTCGTCTGCCCAAGCGGCTGCTGCTGCTTCCTTCTCCTCCTCCGCAACTGCCTCAGCCGCTGCCTCCTCGTCCAGAGCCTGCTGCGCCGCCTTTGCTGCCTTACCCTTCTTGGCTGCCTCCTCTGCTGCTGCCGCCTCCTGCTCCTCTTCCGCATCATCCTTGCCCTGCGCCACCTCTGCCTCACCCTCATCCTCTGCTGCAGCTGCCTTGGCGTCACCTGCAGCAGCCTCGTCTCCATCCTCTGCTGCAGCTGCCTTGCCGTCACCTGCAGCAGCCTCGTCTTCGTCCTCTGAGCCAGCTGTCTTGCCGTCAGAAGCAGCTGCCTTGCCTTTGCCTTCTGCTGCGGGCGCCTCTTGCTCCGCAAGCTCCTTCTCCTCAAACACCTCCTCCCCGGCCTCTGCCCATCCTGCCTCCTCATCCTCATCCACCAAAGCTGCTGCTGCGTCCTCCTGCAAGCCGGCCGCCTCGCTGTCCGTCTGTTCGCCTGTCTGCTCTGAGCCAGCTGTCGTTTCCTCCTCAGCCTCAGCCTCAGCCTCAGCCTCAGCCTCAGCCTCAGCCTCTAATGCCACTGACTCCTCTTTGTCAGCTTCAGCCGCCGCCAGCTGCGCCTCCTTGGCACTGCCGTCTGCCGCCGTGCCAGAGGGGATGAGGTTGACGGTGGTGAGCCGCAGGTTGGCCAGCTGCAGGATGCTGTTGGGAACAGACACCGTGCCGCCCTCTGCAGCAGCGGTAACAGTAAAATCCAATGTGACCTTGAGCGTGCAATGGCCAATTTGGTGGGGCAGTGCAGCACGCACGGGCAGGTGGCACACGCCACCCACTTGGGTGGCGTGATTTTGCCGCCAAGTGGCGGCAAAATCAAGCGGCAAAATCAAGCGGCGGCGGCAAAGGGTAAATGCCAAACTGGGGCACTCCTCTTACCTCTGATGGCAATGAGAAGCGATGGTCCGGCCAGTATGGCTATGGTGACGCACAGGATGAGGAGGCGCTGGCCCCAGGTGCGCTTCTGAATCATGGGCGCGGCAGCCATGGCCTTCCTGAGCCGCAATGGCGTGGCCTCCGGGCTGTCCACCATGCTACCGAGCAGCACACAGGGCGCAGCGATTGCCAGCAGACGAATGCAGTGCCATCGCGATGCCATCAGTACGCGTGTACAGACCCCCCAGGCAGATTCAAGGACCTGAGTGCCCACCATAGCCTAATTGCTACACACAGGCTTGCAGCACATCATCGCGGTGCCCCGTCGAACAGGTGCACTGGCGGCAGCGGGGCAGCAGGCGACGACAGGCGGCGGCAAACGAGAGCCTGCGCTTGCCCCGCTCTCGCTGCACACTCTCCAGCGTTCATTGCTCACAATAACTAGGCGAGGCGCACAATCTTGCAGATGCCGCAGCAACAACAACATGCAAACGGCGCAGCTGGCTCATGCCGCCTGCTGTTGCGCGCCCAGCACCCCCTCTGCCGCCTCTGCCAACAGCTTGCGAGCAAACAGTGGGCTCGAGTGCTGCTGGCCCCTGCCTGGCAGCCGCGCACGTGGACTGCTTCCGGAGCACGGCGTGCTTCCAGGCGACGGCGGCCCGCCTGCTGCTGCCGCTGCTGCCGCCGGCTGCTGGGCCTCGGCTGCGCTCTTGCCGCCTGCTTCGGGCTGCCCCCGGGCAACCTGCTCGATCTGCCGTGCTGCGTCGGCAGCCATGGCGGCCTTGACCGCTCCCAGACGCCGCTGCATGGCCATAAGCAGTGCGTCAATGGTCTGGACCCGGCCCAGGCGCCCCTCCAGGCCGCCAGCCTGCACCATGATAGACGATGGGGCATGCAGGGGCAACGGACATGGGTCATGGCACAGCTGGCAGCTGCTTCACGCTGGCACGGCTCTGCAGCCCTAAAAGCAGTTGAAAAACCAGCAGGGGTGCCGGGGCGAAGCGGCGGCGGCTTGGAGCGGCGCATCAGCGCCTCGGCGCCTTCCAACCGCCACCCAACCGACCTGCCCACCCTCGGCGCCAGCCCTCAGCCGCTGCTTGGCCAGCACGCTCTTGGTCATGCGCAGGTGGCTGCCGGTGGTCTGCCGCGTCAGCAGCGCCTCCATGCAGGGGGACACCGCGGGCCGCGCCAGAGCAGCGCGCAGCGCCTTGATGGCTGCACGGCGAGGGGGTTCCAGGCAGGCAGGTGGGCGGGCAGGCAGGCAGGCAGCACAGAGCAGTTGGATGCGTGCTGAAAGAGCCAACGTGGCCACGCCTGGCAGCATGGGAGGCGAGCGGTGGCAGACGCCACCAAGTGCTGGTGCTGGCAGCGAGGACTCCCATCCCTCCCTTGCCTGCTGCAGGGCTGCCGGTGTGGCTTCCGGCGCCGCCAAACAGCGGCAGCCTGAGGGGGTCCAGCCCGAGGGCGAGGGCCAGGCGCACGGTGGGATTGTTCACCCCGCTCAAGTCGCTGACCCCGCTGCCACCATCGTCAAGCCGCCCCAAGACGCTGCCTGCACGCAGCCCGGGCGTGGTGTGAAGGAAGGCACCGAACTGAGAATTGATTGCAAGCCCCACCAGGACAATAGAACAGCTGCCCCCACACACGCAGCCAAAAGTGCGCACCTGCCGCGGTCCCGCTCCTGCCGTCCAGGCTGTGGATGCTGGTGCCATTGTCCGGCCAGCCGGCACCTGTGTCGCTGCCAAAGTCCAGCCAGCTCCCCTCCTCCTCCCCATCCGACTCCCAATCTAGGTGCGAGTAGGGGTGTGCCGCTGGCGCGCGCAGCACTGGTGGCGGTGGCACGGGCCGCGTCGCCAAGCCGCTGGCTGGGCGTGAAGCTGCAATATCGGCCTGCCTCTCATTGCCATCCCCAGCTGCTGATGCTTCTGCACCAGGACCAATCCCCCACAGCGGCGGCGGGTCGGCCGGCGTGGCAGAGCTGCTGCTGGCCTGTCGAGCGAGTGCCTGCGCCTGAGCTCGTGACTTGAGCTTCGCCGTGCCGACCTCCTCCACTGCCACGAAGTTTTGAAAGCTCTGGCCCAGCGTTGGGCGCCCCGGTGCGGGTGTTCTGTTAAACATCGAGTTTGACCACGCCACGGAACACGGCAGCAAGAGAAAGAAACCAATTGAATAGGCGCGGCAAGCTGAATTTTCCTCTCGGACAAGAAATGTTGCCGCCCCTCGAAGGCCAGCCACGTCACGCCCGCTGGCGCCGCCAACGCTGCCCACAGGGCCGCTCTTGCCTGGTTTATCAGCTGGGCAACAACTGTATGCTTACAAAAGGCATGTACACAGAAAGCACAGCAGAATGTTGCTGCCCCGATCAAATGCTCTGGCGAAATGAAATGGGTGCCGCCGACCTGCGACAACAGCAGATTATTCCCAGCCCACCGGCGCGCCTCACTGCGCGGGCACGAGCTTCTTGATGCCGTGGGCCTCCCACCCTGCAATGACCATCTCCGGGCTGTAGTAGGTGTTCTTCCAGCTGTCCCGCGACATGAAGGTGTCCATGTACTGCCTCAGCGCCGCCAGCTCAGCAGGCATCTCCCAGTCCTGCACCGCATGATGCAAGGCGGGGCAAGCCAGGCGCCAACATGACAGCTGGGGCAGAACCCACCCAGCACAGCAGCGAGGAACGGCAACAAAGGCCAGGCAGATAGGCATGCCACCAACACCTCACAAGCACCCTTCTCCCACAAAAGCGCATGCGTGAATGCAGACCCCGCCCTTCACCCACCCAGCCCTACAAAGCCACCCACCCTGAAGTACTTGGTCCCCACTTGCATGTGGTACAGGCGCGGCATGACTGCGCAGTCGGTGGCACAGGGCGCAGCGCCGCCGATGAAGGGTCCGTGCGCCGTCAGGTGCGCGTCCAGCCCGCGCAGGCACTCCACCAGGTCCGCCTCCTTCTCCGCCGCCTCCTCGGGGCTCGACTTGATGAAGGCCCCAAACTTGCCCAGCACATCCAGCCCGCTGCAGGCAGCGGGAGAGTAGCTGGATTGCGGCGATGGTGACAAAGGGGTCCAAGAGAGAAGCGGAGCAGCGTAGGCAGAAAGGGGCCGGCCGCCAGCAAACACAGCAGCGCAAGCGATGCCAGCGACAGAGTTTGGTAAGAGCGCAGCTGGCTTGCCAGGCAACAGCAAAACGCACATCTGCGGCGAGTCCTCTGCCGTGCCCAACGGTGGATCTGGGAACTTCTCTTCAAGGTAGTCCTGAATTGTGCCGCTGTCCACAATCCACTCCCCGGTGGCCAGCTCCTGCAAGCACAGAGTGGCAAAGGGGCGGGGCAGTCGAGAGGGTGAGGCCAACCACGGCAAGCATCCACACAACCTGGCAGCTTTGCACCGCGCACCTTCATGACGGGCACGCTGCCGGCAGGGTTGACATCCAGCAGCCACTGCGGCTTGTTGGCAAAGTCAATGAAGGTCTTGGTGTACGGTACGTGTTTCTCTTCGAGCGTCAGCAGCGAGCGGTGGCAGAACGGGCCTGCAGACGTTGGACCCACGGCAGTGCAGGTGTGAGGGGCGTCCCAGAAGGATCTAGGCCAGGTTCAGCGCTGATCGCTGCCTAGGACCAGTACAGATGTCAGGAAGCAGATCCCTGGGGGTAGCACTGGCCCGCCGCCGGAAGGCGCCGCACACTCACAGTCGGCCAGCTTGCCGCCCACAGCCTTCACAGCAATGTCATACTTGGGCTCCGCGGCCGAGGCCATGGCCCTGACTGCCACCCGGCTGGCGCGCTGTGCCTTGAGAGCTGCTGAGCGGGGCTGGGCAGTGAGCACGGCGGACCTCACGCAGGTCTGCATGCTCCCACACTCTACAGAGGAGCTCAAAAGCTGGTGTGAAGCTGGTGCAGGCGATCGGAAGCAGAGCGGTGCATTGAGGTAGGCGCATCGCGGAGTTTTCCTCGGCCTCCCTGCGGCGCTCGGCACAGCACGAAGCAAAGGCTCCCGTCTGCAGCCAAAGCGGCCTCTTTTGTTGTGTGCTGCGTCGGTCTGTACCGATTGCAGGCCCCCAGCGGCCGCCTCCACCCAGAGCCGATCAAATCGAGCTGCAGGGCGCCCCTTTCCCTGCCAGTCCTCCCTCGGGGGCGTGGGGGCTGCGCCCCGGCTGTGACAGCGTCATCGGCAAAGGCAGCGCAGGCCGGGTCCAGCCACACTTGGGCCAGCACCCTCTGCGGCGGCTCTGGGCGCGGGCCGACCCAGCAGCATGGCGGAGGCGGGCCCCAGCAACGCGGTGGTGGCGGCGGCAGAGCCAGAGGTGGACCTGAGCATCCACCCCAGCGGCATCGTGCCGCAGCTGCAGGTGACCGCCGCGGGGTGTTGGCACCCGCAGCAGGGCTGCAAATTGCTGCCCTGGCCTTTGTTTAGGCACGCTGTCAGTGCGTGAGTTGTGGCCGGGATCTCCCTGCTGTTGCGGCCTGCCCGTTTGTGTGTGCCCGCTTGCCTCCGTCCACGCCCCCCACCCAACGTCCGATCCCACAGAACGTGGTGGCGACTGTGAACCTGGAGTGCAAGCTGGACCTGAAGAACATCGCGCTCCACGCCCGCAACGCCGAGTACAACCCCAAGCGCTTTGCCGCCGTCATCATGCGCATCCGCGAGCCCAAGTCCACCGCGCTCATCTTCCACTCGGGCAAGATGGTGTGCACGGGGACCAAGAGCGAGCAGGAGGCGCGCATCGCGTCCCGCAAGTACGCCAAGATCCTGCAGAAGCTGCAGTACTCGGTGTCGTTCAAGGTGGGGCGGGCCAGGAGCAGGGAACGGGGCGGGGGGAGGGTTGGCCAAGGTGTTGTAGCAGCAGGTGTTGTGGCAAGGCGCGCAGCGACACATGCTGGTGCTCCGCGACATGCCGGGCCCCACAGGTGCTCCAGCTTGCTGTTTGCGGCGGCAGCAGGTGTGACCGGCATGGGGCGCCGCGTGCTGCAGGAGTTCAAGATCCAGAACATGGTGGGCAGCTGCGACGTGAAGTTCCCCATCCGCCTGGAGGGCCTGGCCAGCACGCACGCCGTGTTCTGCAGCGTGAGTGCGGCAGCGGCGGGGTGCCGTCGAGCGCGGCAGAGGCATGGGTGGGCATGCAGGCCCGCCCTTGCAGCTGCAGCGCAGCGCAGCACAGTGCCGATGCTGCAGGCAGCCGACCATGTGCACATGTGCGTGCGCGGCCCCGCCACCCCCTTACCCCTGCAGTATGAGCCGGAGCTGTTCCCGGGCCTCATCTACCGCATGGCCGACCCCAAGATTGTGCTGCTCATCTTTGTCAGCGGCAAGGTGGGGCGGGGGTGGGCTAGTGCGCCTGTGACGCAGCCAGCACGCTGGTTGATAACGGTCAGCCTATGTACAGGCCTTGTAACATTGGCTGAGGTCGGTGCCTGCCGCCTGCCACCGCTGGGCCCACCTGCAGGTGGTGCTGACTGGCGCCAAGAAGCGCGAGGACATCTACCGCGCCTTTGAAAACATCTACCCCGTGCTGCAGACGTTCCGCAAAGGCGGTGAGTTTTGTGTTTGAGTCGGGGGCGCAGGGCATGCAGATCAAGCAGGAAATATGGAGGCAGCCGGCATTGGGCCATCAGGGAGTGGGTGTGTCTCTCCCCTTGTGCCTGATGATCGCCCCGCATGCTCTGGTGCAGGCATGATTGCGGCGCCAGACTCGGCCGGAGCGCTGCTGCCGGCGCAACAGCAGCAACAGCAGCAGCAGCAGCAGCAGCAGCCTGCGCTGCCCATGGTGGGAGCCCCAGCGCAGCAGCTGTAGGGCCAGCCAAACATCATAGCCACAACAACAATCCATAGCCTCTCTTTCCTGAGAATCCCTTGCAACCAAATTCCTGGGCCTTAGTGCTACATGCTCCCTGCTCTCTGCTAATTGTCCTAGCAGGCTGTCCTTTCTTCCTGCTCTCATTTGATTGCTTGATCGGGCCCTTCCACCTCCCTCTCCCTCCCTCGCCTGCACCGCCGGGCGCGCCTGTGTCCTGCCTGCTTCTCCTTTACCAACGCTTGAACCTCCTGTGCAGCACCCCTGCCGCTTTGCTGTTTACTGCTGGTGTGTAACGCTGAGAACACATGTCCAGAACGCATGGGTATGAAACAATGTGGCTTGGGGGTGTTAAATTCTGCATGGCGGTGGGTTGCAAACCGGTCGCATCAAGGAAGATGACCCGACCATTGCAACCGCTCGAAATATACGCCCATATATTTTCATCTTTCATCAAGTTTCTACCAAACATTTGGGCCTCCGTTTTGAAACAGCCACGCTGAAATCCAGAAATCACAAGTCCCAGGCAACAACCAACAACCGGACCTCGAAGTTACACTTTGCACCACAAGCCTCGTGGGCACTCTACAGCCTGTTTAGTAAATCAGGAACCATTGCAAAATAATTCAGGGCTGCGTCAAAAGGGTGGGCGGCAGCGATTGCCCTGCTCCAAACATTCGACGACGGCGCCACTGCTTCTAAGGTGGCTGATTGAATAGATGTACGTCAGTGAGCAAAGTTAGGCTGCGTGCACGCCGCGCCGGTGGAAGCAGAGGGGTGTGTTGGAAGCAGCAACTTGGTCATTGTCACCCCTGGTTGTGTAACCCTGCAACCTGAGGGAGCTCGTTGGGGCCCGGCTTGCAGCTTTGATTCAACAGACTCTCGAGAAGTTGGTTCCTAGCTGCGCTCACCGGCTTGTGGCGGCGAGCACCCGCTCCCGCCGGCCGCCAGCTGCTACAACTTTATCGGTTGTTCTACAGTTATGTTTCTTTTGGCCCACTCTGCAGATATAAATTTACATGGATTTGACCCTCAAGCCCGCTTGCCTGCAATCATGGATAAGGCTGGTAGGCCTGGCGCTGCTCCCCGCGGCCTGCTGGACGTCGCATCTCTTCCTGCACGTTTCGTATGTGCGCTGACGTTGGCACACTCCTGTCTGCAGGTGCCCTCCAGGCACACGTTCCAGCAGCAGCAGCCAAAGGCGACCTTCAAGCGCTTCAGGCAGCTCTCAGCAAGCAGACCGGCCAAGTAAAGGTTGCGGATCACGACAGCAAGACAGCCTTCCACAAGCGCCACCGGGACTGCATCAAGGAGTTGCTGATAACCGGTGCTGCGCATGGCCACGTGGAGCGCCTTCATGCAATTATGGCAGCTGGAGCCAATGCCAATGCAGCAGAGGCCCGCGGCGGGGCAGAGCTTCATTTGGCAGCTGCAGAGCGCCATGTGGAGTATCTCAAAGCGCTGGAGTTGACAGCAGGCAGCGCTGGAGTTGACATGCTCGACATGTTTGGAAGGACAACGCTGCCTAGCTCGGCTGTGGACGGCCATGCGGATTGTCCTCACTTGATGATGGCAGCTGGGGCTGCCTCTAGTGAGGCAGGCAAGCATGTCGAGGCAGCGGCGCGTCTCGCAGCAAGCGAGGGTCACAGCAGCTGCCTCAAGCTGCTGCTGGCGGCTGGAGCCGCATTTAATGATGATGAAGGCACGGCTATGCTTCATGACGCGGCTACAGAAGGCCATGCACACTGCTTGCAAATCCTGCTGGCAGCTGGCTTCACCGACGGCGCAGCAGGCAACTGCTGCTGGACAGCTGTCCATTGTGCTGCTCTTCGGGGCCAAGACGCTTGTCTGAAAGCACTGCTGGCAGCTGGGGCACATCCTGGGGCAGTGGATAAGTATGGTAGGACAGCATTGCATCTGGCAGCATGCGGGGGGCATGCCCTCTGCCTGAAGGCGTTGCTAGAAGCTGGCGCCGATATTGATTCAGCAAACAACGGCGGCCAGACGTCCCTTCACATGGCAGCTGCCGTTGGCCATTTTGAGTGTTTGAAAGTGCTGCTCGCAGCCGGTGCAGACATCAATGCAGTGAACCTACGCGGCCAGACAGCGCTTCACAAGGCAGCTGTTTTGGGCAACGTGGGGTGTGTCCAGGCGCTGCTGGCCGCTGGTGCAGACCCTGTCGCAGAGGACAATCGCGGCCTGACGGCAGCGGATGAGGCGGCTGCCATTGGCCATTTGGAGTGCCTGCAGCTGCTTGAGACAGCCGGCGGGAGAAGGGGCCAGGCAGCCCTGCCTAGCAACGCCACGGCAGCAGTCAAACCAACCCATCATGTGCCGATGCCTGGCTGGGCAAGCCTGGCCCCCAGCAGCATGGGTGCAGAGGCAGCGGGTCAACCACAGCAGGCAGCACGCCAGGCCGCTCCCACCCAGCCCCCAAAGCCTGCTGCCTGGCCAGACTTCGCCATCGAGCTGGATGCCAAGGACGTTGAGCGGCTGCGGCCCGGCCAGCCGCTGAGCCCCCCCATCCTGCAGCTGTTCTTCAGGTTCGGCTCCTGCTGGCTGCCGACAGCTCCAGGGGCTCAACTCATTCCAGTGGCCCGTGTCTTGTGCTTATCTGCACCACTGACTGGCACCACAACGCACCTGCTGCAGGCGTGTGCTGCCCACCAAGCTGCGGAAAGCGCGTGGGGGCAGCACCAGCGCGCCCTCGCGCTGCACGGCGTTGGAACCGGGGCTCTACCCAGCCCTGTGCTCTGTTGCGCAGCTGCCAGCCAGCAGCAGGGCCCCGGCATTTCAGGATGTGCTGCAGCATTTCAAGGTAGGTCGGACAACAGTGCATGCTGATGTGGCGCAGCAGGACAAAGCAGGCGACAGCATGCATACCAGCACCCTGCTTGGTGCCTTGACCTTGGCCCCTGTCCCTGCCCCCTGCCATGCCTGCAGCTGGCTGAGGCGCGGCCAGCTGAGGCCGCTGCGTCAGACATGCCGCCGCCGTCGCCAGCTCCCACGCTGGCGTCCAGCGATTATTTGCTGTTCCCGCTGACGAGTGGCCACGACCCGCTGGGCGTGCACCCCGTGTCGCTGCTGCTGGCCTGCTCCAGCGGCGGCGGCCTGCTGCTGCACCTGGATTCGCAGGCAAGCTGGAGGGTGTTGCTGTTTTGTTGCGGGCTTCGAGGAGCACGCATGTGCCAAGGCCATCGCCCGGGACAGCTGGGCTGCTGCTGCATTCCCCACTAGCACCTGGCTCCTCTGCTCACCGCTGTGGTGCAGCGTGGCGCCGTGGTGGGGCCGCAGGAGCATGCCATGTGCCTGAGAGGCCACCTGCCCGCCGACTACGGCAACCAGCAGCAGCCCGCAGCCTCCCTGCCGCCCACAGCTGCACTTGTGGAGCCTGTGCGCCAATTCCTTGCCCAACTGGGCGGGCGCTACGCCGCGGCTGCAGATTGGCCGCTTAAGTCCGCCAAGGCAAGCCTCTAGAGCTAGATTGTTTGCCTGGATAGGCCCACCTACCAACCTGGCTGTGCTGACAATTTGCTGCGTGACCATCCAAAGCACCTGGTGCTTCCTGTCCTGGCTTCCTCACCGCGCCTGTGTCTCCTCCCCACCCCCCGCTGCCCTGCCTGCCTGGCGCAGGTGCCGCTGCAGCGCGGCCTGACCGACGGCGGCCTGTTTGCCGCCACCAGCGCGCTGTACCTGCTGTCTGGGCTGCCGCCGGCGCTGACGCCGCAGGCGGCGGATGTGCTGGCGGTGTACCGCCGCACCGAGATAGACCTGTTTCAGGACAGCCACTACTGCTACCCGGGTGAGCAGGGAGCTGCTTACGGCGGCCATGGTGTGGCTTTGCCGCAAGCAGCCAGAGGTGTGATGCAGCAATGCATGCTGTGGAGCCGGATCCCTTCAGGTTGGACGGAAAAGCTCAAATTTGCCCACCACGCGCGCCTGCAGGCTTCCTCACCCGCCAGTGGTACCCTCCAGAGGCCGCCGAGGCGCTGCGCCGGGACCTGGCGGCTGCGGTGTGGCTGGAGATCAAGCAGGCAAGCAGAGGCATGGCGCGGTTTGGCCTGGCATGAGGGCAGAGGGCCGGAACGGTGTTGGCCCTGCTCAGGCAGCGCCAACGCCGGCTCCAGCTTCCAAGCAGCTTCTCTTCTGCCGCAGGCCTCGGGCGCAGGGCAAGACTCGCAGGTGCCAGGCAACGAGGCCCTGCTGCAACAGCTGGCGGTGGTGGAGCAGGAGCTGGGGCAGGCGTCGCTGCGGCGGGTGAGCACGCAGGCGACGCCTGGTTTCGTTTGGTGCTGCAGGTTGGAGGCTGGCTCCGCACCTGCGCCTCCTCCAGGGAAAGCCCAGCACTCTCATGCCGGCTGGCTGCGCGCCCCTGCTTCGCCGTCTGCAGTTTGAGATGCCGTCGGAGCGCGTCAAGCGGCAGCAGCAGAAGAAGCGGCAGCGGGTGCAGCGCATGCCGCGAGCGCTGCAGCGCGCCCGCTGGGCCACGCTGGCCGCGCCGCTCCAGGTCGCCCCTCCGGCGACAGAGGCCGCGGTGCGTGCAGCGCTGCAGGCACTGCAAGCGCAGCTGCTGGGCAGCGCGGCAGGCAGCAGCGCGGAGCAGGCTGGCGGGCGGGCTGGTCTGCCTCCCGCCGCTGCTACCCGCAGTTGGCCCTTGGGAGGGCCGCAACAAGCCCCGGCCGCAGCAGGGGCCGGCCCCACCGGTGGCAGCGCGGGCCGCGGACGGCCGCAGCGGGCGAGCTCCAAGCGTGTGGCGGAAGTTGTGGCTCAGGAGCGGCAGGCAGAGGTGCTGGACCTGACTGGGTGGGATTCTGAGGAGGAGGAGGAGGCGGAGGGGGGCAGCACAGAGGACGAGGAGCAGCAGGCAACGCAGAGCAGCGGCGGCACCGGCTGGCAGTTTCACGAGTGGCCCGATGCAGCGGGCAAGGCAAGAGCAGCTGAGGCCGGCACAGCAGCGGATGCGGCAGCAGCAGCAGCAGCAGCAGAGGCAGCGGCGGATCTGCGGCTGCCACCGCAAGAGGTTTACATGGTCGATTTGACAGCAGAGGAGGAGGAGGAGGAGCAGCCCCAGCAGCAGGCAAACGCGGGCGGCTTGCCTTTGGCTGCACAGGCGCACCTGGTCTCGGTGAAGCGCTCGCATGGGCTTGCCTTTGGCGCGTCAGAGGCGGCGGCAGGACAAGATCTAGAGCAGCGGCAGCAGGGTGCAGCAGCCGAAGGCGTGGAGGGCGAGGCAGGGGCGGCCAAGGAGCCGCGCCTGTCGTGCCGCAACTGCGGCTTGAGCGGTGTCAGGCTTCAGCGCTGCTCAGCCTGCAAGTCTGTCTACTACTGCTCAGCGGCATGCCAGAGAGCCGACTGGCCACGCCACACGCCCGAGTGCGGCAGCCTGGCATCGGCGGCAGCGGGCCAAGCAGCCCCGCAGGCGATACAGGAGCCTGATGGCATGGAGCAGCAGCCGCAGCAGCATCGTGACAGCCCGGGTCAGGCCGCCGAAGCTGCTCCAAGCAGCAGGGCACAGGATGCGGCAGCAGCCCCAGGGGGCGGCCCCGCCCGCAGCACGGAGGCTGGCGGCTCGGATGTCGCTACGCCCCTGACGGAGTGGGATGCCGCGGCTGCCTCAGGTGCCAGCCCCGGTGGCGGAAGCAGCCATGGCGGCAGTCGGGCATATAGCAAGTGGGAGCCCAATGGGCGAGGAGGCTACACCAAGGCACTCAGCTCCTCAGACCTGCTCAAGCTCCGGCTCAAGGGTGAGGTGGCGCGGCTGTGCCAGCAGCTGTGGGCTGCCTGCTCCTGCGTTTGCCATGCCCCGCAGCTTTGGTGTGCCGCGCCTGCTGCATCACGCAGCCCACCTGGTCGCTGGCGGCGCGTGCAGGTGGCGCACTGGGGGCGCACATCGCCGACGGCGACCACCAAGTGCAGGTGGTGCTGGTGGAGGATGCCGGCGACGGCGCCGAGGCCGGCTCTGGCGCCCTGCCACAGCACCTACGCCTGACTTGGACAGTGGGGCTGTGGCGGCCCAAGTCGGGGGCAGAGGTCAAGCAGCAGGCAAGCCAGCGCACAGCTCTTCGGTTCAGAACACTGCCTGCTGCACCTGGCACACAGATGCGGCTGGTATCGGTGCTCTGCCACCAGCTCCGGCTTTGACCTGCTCCTCCCCCTTCTTCCTCTCCTGCTGCCGCTGCTGCAGCTGCTGAGCCTGCAGGCTGCGTGGCCCGCCGTGGTGGCAGACCTCAAGCTGGCGCCCGGAGATTCTGTGGAACTGCAGCCGGATGGCCGGGACCCTCCGCGGCCAGACGGCACCCGCCGCCCCCGCCTGCTGCTCAGCGTGCGCCGCGGCGCGGGCCGCAGCGCGGTGGTTGGCTTGCCAGCAGCAGGAGCAGCAGCAGCAGCAGCAGCAGCCGCGGGGGCAGCCGGCAGCGGGGGCAGCGCAGCAGGCCGGGCTTTGGTCCCAGAGCAGCTGGCCCGCCTGCATAGGGAGCTGGCCCACCAAGCCGCAGCGGTGGCCAGCTCCCGGCAGGCCGCGGCATCAGCTGCGTCGGCAGGCACGGCGCCAGTGCCTGGCCAGACAGCAGCGGTCGCCCCTGCCGCCCTAGCAGCCTCCGTCACCTCCTCACCTGCCCCGTCCCCGCAGCGCCCTGCCGCGCTGCTGGCGGTGCCGCAGGGATTCCTGGCAGGCGTGCAGCAGCAGTCGGCACCCCAAGAGCAGCAGCGACGGCAGCAGCAGCAGCAGCAGCAGCAGCAGCAGCAGCAGCAGCAGCAGCAGCAGAACCAGATGTGATGCGTCTTTGGTGGTACACAACACATTTCACTCAATGTAAGACGAGTGAGCTGTCTGAGCATGTCGAGGAAATCATCATATGATGTACGGCAAGCTGGCCGCTGGCGGCGGATGGCAGGGGAGCAGCTGGGTCGTGGTCGCCCACAGCATATTGATGTGCTGCAAATGCATTCACTGTTGGAATTTGTAGGAAACTGACGCCATCTGGCTGCGTTCCTGGCTTTGGATGACACTTTTTGTGCAACGCCGCCCGCCATGCTGGCGTCGCCCGCCTTGCTGGTGTCGCACCAACCTATGCGGTCTTCTGTCCGATCTCCCCCAATTATACAGCACGCATGGTGTGCGTGGTAGGGTTTGCTGCCTAGAGGCCACGGTGCAGCGGCATGGACCGAAACACTCTCGGGAATGGCGAGGGCCAGTCTTTCACCGTGCTGCGCCACCCCTCGGGCTCGCTGGTGCGATCGTCTCTGCCCGGATCGTTCAACGCCACTGTCACCCGCCCTTCGCCACCTACCAGTCGCCGCCGCCTGCCGGGCAGTGCCGCTTTCAGTCCTACTTCCTCCTGCCTGCAGGTGTACGTTGTGGGCACAGCACACGTGTCACGCAAGGTAAGCACTGCAAACAGGATCTGCTGCATTCCTCGCCTGCCTCGCTCCTGATGTTCTTGCTCTGCTCCCGCCAGCAGGCAGCGCAGGATGTGTCGGCCCTGATCAGCCGCGTGTCGCCCGCGGTGGTGGTGCTGGAGCTGGATCCGGAGCGGGAGCGTAAGCTGCTGGAGCAGGTGCCTGGTGGAGGAGACGGGGCAGCCAGATGGCTGAAAGCGTGGAACGCCCCAAAAGCAACAGGAGGGCTGCCATGCATCATTGTGCGGGTGTGGCAGACACACCCTGCTGTGTGTGTACTCGCAGGCTGAGAAGGGAGACACTTACGGCATCACCAGGCTGCGGAACAAATCCACCCTGGAGGTGCATGGTGCTGCACCTTGGGGAGAGTCGCACATCAAAGAAATGCGCCTGCGCTGGCGCTGCTGGTGCAGCTCGTGGCCCTGGCACGGCAGGGCCGGGTCCCAGACCTGCCCTCCACCCGTTGATGCGCAGATTGTGAAGATGAGCCTGTCTGGCGAGGCCTTCCAGTTCTTCATGTCGTCCATATATACCATCACAGGCGCCCTGATGGGCACCACCCCCGGCGGCGAGTTCCTGGCGGCGATCGAGGCGGCGAGGGGCGTGGGCGCGCAGGCACGCAGGGCTCGCACTGCAAGCGGCTGCCGCCTGGCTGCTTCCCGGACCTGTGTGGATCAGAGGTGCAAGACCTGTGACCGTCAAAGCTTAAGGACGGTGTTGCCACATGACCCTATGCCACATGACCCTCTGCCACATGACCCTCTGCAGGTGGTGCTGGGTGACCGTGACCAGGAGGCCACGATGCGGCGCCTGCAGTACTACACCCGCTACCTGACCCGCCACGACAGCCGCACCCAGGTGGGCTGCTGAGCTGGCAGCAGCTGGCACGCCAGGCTTTGGGCTGTGGGAAGCTAGCAGCCGACAGCACGCTCTGGGCTGCAGGCGGACATGCGGCGCCTGCGCAACACAATGGACTCTGGGCGGAAGGAAGATGGCGGCAGCGGCCCGCTGATTGATAGCCCCACGTCCATCGATGTCGGTGAGCTGGCTGGCGCGCAGCTGGCACACACAACCTTGTGTCTTGTGTATTTTGGCAAGGCATCGTGCATCTGTTGCGCCACCGAGGAATCAGCACTGCTCATGTATGGCCCCACATCTGCTCCCCAGGCCGGCCGCCCGACTTTCTGCGCCGCGAGCCGCCTCCCACACGCAAGGAGGCGGAGGTGGAGGAGGAGGTGCGCCAGTCGCAGGTTGCAGGCAAGTGCAGCACGTCGGAGTGAGTGGGTGGCCGTTTTGGGCCATCTTGGGCCGCGGACGCTGGCGAATACGTGGGGAGGTGGGACACCTGGCAACCCAGGCGGCCTCCCACCTGATCAGCTGCCCTGCCCACATGGTTTGGCTTGTGGTTCGCTCTGTAGAGGACCCCTGGGGCCTGGGCCCTGACGAGAACAGCGAGGCAGGCATGCGGCGGCGGCTGCTGGAGATGATGAGGGAGGGCGGCTGCCCGCAACCCGATGTGGTGCTGGCGGCGGCGCGCCGCATCTTTCAAGACGGTGGGGGTTGCCAGCCTGCTGCATGCGCTGCTGCCCTCACTTGCCATGGCAGGAGCTGGGAACTGCTAGCAGCACGAGCGAGTTTTTTGTCGCGGGACCATGCCTGCAGGGATGGACACCGCAGGCAGCATCAAGCCCGCGGATGTGCTGACGGTGCGCGAGTGCGGCAATAGCCTGGTGGAGACCTTCCGCCAGCGAGCTGTCAAGGTGTGCCAACAGTTCACAGCCCCCTGCAGCCATGGCATGGCATGGTGCTGCCGGCCTTGCAGCCCTGCTTGGCTGGCTGGCATCGCCTGACCATGCACACGCCTCGTTGTTCAATTGGAGTACAGGGCGACAGCACGTGGATGCAGAGGCTGGAGGAGGAGCAGGTGGCGGGGGCCAAGGGCGTGGCAGGCATGGAGCGCAGGTGATCATATGCAGCTTGCCGGCTGTGCATTGTGTGGGTAACAAGGTGCGTTGTTGTTCTGCCCATGCTGCCCACTCACTGCCCTCTGCTTTGGTATGCAGCAACACTGCCATGAGGAAAGTGATTGTGGATGAGCGGGACCTCATCCTGGCCAGGTGAGCGACCAGCCAGCCAGCAGCTGCAGCCCAACTGGTCAATTTCTCCATCTTACCTCCACTCAGCATTGGCTGACTGCATCCAGCTGCTACCCTCAACACATCGCTGGTGGCCCATGCAGGCGGCTGTGGGAGGCGGGGCTGGAGGCAGGGTCGCAGCCGGTTGTGGGGGTGGTGGGCGCGGGACACATCAAGGTGGGCGGGTGGAAGCTGGCTGTGCTCCAATGTGGCGTTAGCTGGCCGATGACATCCCACCCTGGCATGATCCGGACCTTCCAGGCACTTGCATTTGCTTTTTGGTCTTAACCACCTTGGCCTGTGGCCCGCCCGCTTGATGGGGCACGCAGGGCATCACTCGCCACTGGGCCGAGGCGGGCGAGCCGGCCACCGAGGAGCGGGTGCAGCGCTACCTGCAGGCGCCGCAGGACGAGGCGGGGTCGCCCTGGCTGACCGCGGCCGCGGGGGCGGCGGTGCTGGGCACGATTGCATACCGCCGCCCCAGGGCCGCGGCGATGTTTGCGGGGGGCGTGGCGCTGGTGACCGCTCCCTACCTGGGATTCATGGTAGTCACCGTCAACCGCTTCGGCAAGGTAGCCACCGGTGGGGGAGGCAGCGAGCTTTCCAGCGGGACAAGCGTGTGGCAGCATGCAGCCCGAGTCTGCTGCTGCATGAGCATGATGAGCAGCCTGCCGACCCACGCCCTGCCCTCCCTTGTTGCCCTCCCTTGTCGCATCCCCGCAGTTTGCGGCCAAGCTGGTCAACACAGCAGAGATGATGGATGCGGGCGGCGGCGACGGCTTTGGCGACGACCTCAGCATGGCGGGCTGGTCTGCCGAGGAGAGCGGCGCGGGCGGCGCCGACAGCGAGTGGAAGTGACGGCGTTGGGATGTACCTCGCCGTAAGCTGCACACCATGAAACTCGAGGCTTGGTGCCCAAAGACCATGCTGGGGTGGCGTGTTTCCAATGAATGTATGAGGCTGCTTCCAAGGAGCAGAAGCAAGGGATCAAATGTGGAAAAATGAGGGCAACAGGAGAGGGAGCAGAGCGGAAAATGAAGGCGAGGCGTGCTGCCTCGCTGCTGCTATTGCTGCTGCCGCATCTGCTGCTGCTGCGCGTCTAATGCCGCCTGCGCCGCGGGCGGCAGCAGCGAGCGCGGCGGCCGCGCCGGCCGCAGCTCGCCCGGCCGATCCACGTACTCTATGAACGCCATCTGCGCCGCATCCCCCTGGCGCACATCGGTGCGCAGGATGCGGGTGTAGCCGCCGTCACGGTCGCGGTACCGCTCCGCCAGCTGCGTGAACAGCTTGTGCAGCTCGGCATCGCCGTTGACGACGGCTGCTGCCCGCCGCCGCGCGTGCAGGTCGCCCTGCACCGCGGTTTGGTGGATGCATGGGAGGCGTGCACGACGTTGGAGGCCGAAACCGCTCGCTGCTCCCACATGCACCTGGGCTGGATAATCTGCTTCGGCCCCTGCAACCGCGCTAGTTCCATGCTGTGCTTGATGCCCCCATCCCTGAGTAACGAACGCGGCAGCTGCTAGGCGCCCGCGGCCCGCAGGCGCGCACCTGCTTGCCCAGCGTTACCATCTGGTCTGCTATGCGCCGCAGCTCCTTGGCCTTCTGCACCGTTGTCTCGATGCGCTCGTGCCGGATCAGCTGCGACACCATCGTCCTGCAGGAGGCGGCGCGTAGGAGGAGCGCGGTGGGCCACGTGCGGCCGGAGGCGGGCGATGGCGGGCGACAGGCGCTGGCAGCGGCGCCTTGGCCATGCCCGCTGCTGCATCGCTGAGGCATCGCCTTGCTGCTTCTGTCGAGCAAGGGAGAGCCCCGCTGCTGGCCTCCTCACCTCAGCATGGACCAGCGGTGCGCAGATGTGCGCCTGAGCTTGCGGAAGGCCACCCGATGTTTCATCCTGGCCTATTGCCGACTAACCAGCACGCCCCGCTGCTCCTCACGTCGCCGCCCGCGCACCCTCCAAAACCCAGCCCGCACGAGCTGATGCAAGCAAGGGTGATGCTGAGGATGAAGGAAAACCGGCTGCAGCGGGAAATGGAGGGCCCTGACACGAAGATGTTTGCTTGGGCAGAAGGAGCGGGCTGCTATGCCAGTCTGGGTCAGTGCAAGTCGATGTAGGTGGCCATACTTGCAGTTTTACTATCCGGCCCGCTGAAAAGAAGGCCCCCGTGGCGGGCCTCGCCATGCAGGGACGCAGTAAACTCTGAGATTCGCTCCCTGCGGGCCCATTTCGGCGAATTGCGAGCTTGCAGAGCTGCATCGTCCGGCTTAGATTGCAGTGGACCGCCCTGCACACCCTCCAGCGCCCGGCAGTTTGGCTTGCAGCAGGCCAGTGGGCGATTCTCCACCCATAACGCTCCGTAGCGACACCGCATCGCCCCCGGCATTGCTGCCGCGCAACTGTCTGCCACCGCCCCGCCGCTGCCGCCGGCGCCGGCGGCGATGGGCGCAGGCGCCAGCAGCCCCGCCCTCTCGCACCGCAGCCTCAACTGCCGCGATGCGACGACGGTGGAGTTCATCAACACCACGGACCAGACGGTCACCACCACTTGGCTGGACTATCGCGGTGCGCCGAGGGTCTACGCGGTACTGGCGCCCGGCGAGCGCGTGCGGCAGCTCACCTTCACAGCCCACCCATGGATTTTCGTAGCTGAGGATCCGCATGCGCAGCCCTGCGTGGTGGACGACCAGCTAGTCTACTACCCGCCGCTGGCGCCCGAAGGCAGCGCGCCGGTGCAGGCCCTCATCTGCCCTGCCTCGCCCCTGCCCTGGTCGCAAGCCCACCACCTCTGCTTCCCTCCCGACTTCCGCGCTGGAGCCGCTGCCCTGCTGTGCTGCCATCGCCGCCTGTCGGCGCCGCCGCACGCCGGACAGCAGCAGCTGGGGAAGTGGCGGCAGCCGTGGCGGCAGCACCTGGCCTGGCTCCGCCGGCTGTGCCCTGCTGCGCATGCCTGCTACATGCAGCTGGGTGCTGACGCCGAGCCGGCTGCAAGGGGGCTGGCAGCACAGGACGCGGCAGCGGCAGCAACGCGGGACCAGGGATACAATTTGGGAGACCTGCCAAAGGTAGGGAAGTGTGCCGAGCGTGTCGCAAACATACTCCTTCACCAGCTTCTGAAAAGTGAGGCTTGAGCACAACTGGTCCATGCCCTGCACCACAACAGCCGCCCCTGCTGCTCGTGCCCGCCCTGCCCCGCAGGAGCTGCTGGTGGAGGTGGTTGCGGCTGCAGCACCCACCATCCCGTTCCTGGCCAAGCCGCCCCTGCCGTACGGCGTGCACCCGCGAGAGCTGGCGCAGGGGGCGCTGCACGAGTTGTTCGAGGTGGGGCCCAGCAGCAGCAGCGGCAGCGGCGGCGCGTCTGGGAGCGGCAGCGAGGAGGAGGAGGAGGAGGAGGAGCAGGGGCAAGGTGGAGCAGAAGCTGCGCAGTAAGATGTGATCAGTACGGCTCAAGTCGCCAGGGAGTAGTAAAGGTTATGCAGCATGACAGCAGTGTGATACAGGGATGAGAGGGGTGCAGTTCAATGAAAGAACATGAGAGATACATGTGCAGCCAGCTGCTGGGAGCAGATGCAATGTTGGGCGGCGGCTGAACTGCGCAGCGCGAGTCTGCGGGGCTCAGGCCGACATGCCCTGCAGGTAGCTCTCCAGCTCGGCAATCTCATTCGTGCGGATGTGCTCCCGAATGATCTCCCGCCACTCCTGCAGCTGCGCCTCGGGCGTCATGGTGACCCAGAACCGCATGTAGCCCTGCAGCAGTAAAGGCGGGCATGATTGCCAGGCGCGGGCGGGGGCATGATCAGCACTCAGCAGCTGCGCAGCGGCAAGCTGCTTGCTCGGCCAGCTGGGTGCTGGCACAGAGCAGGAAGATGGCCGCCAGGCACTTGCCTCTACTGTGTCTGGGTCAATCCTGCGGGACATCAACGCCTTGCGCACTACAGCAGGCGCAGGTGGCATGCCGCCTGGCGCTCGTTGCCGAGACCGCTGCTGCTGCTCCTGCGATGGCTGTGGCGGGCTCGCCTCACGCCTGGTGGCCGCGGCTGCTGCCGGTGCCGGCGCTGCTGGTGCAGGCGGCTGCTGGGGCGGCAGCTCGCTGCCCGCCACCTCCTCCTCTGCCTTCATGTCTGCCCCATGTGGCTGCGAAGCGGCATCAGGAATGTCCTGGTGCTGCGCTGCGCTGGCGGGCAGGGCTGCGCGGCCGCCGCCCTGCCGCGCAGGCGCCGCCGGCTTGTGCTCAGCCTGGGGTGCGTCGGGCGCGGCTGTCAGCACGCCATCCGCCGGGGTGGCTGCTGCTGCTGGCTGCTGCGCGCCATCTGGCGGCGTGCTGGAGGGGAGCCCACTCAGATGCACCAGGGTGTCAGCCACATCATCCATGATGTCGCCATCCAAAGACATGCGGCCTGCGCCGTCGCCGCCGCCTCCCCGCTGCAGAAGCTCCTGCAGGCGCCCCTCCTCCGCACGAGCCGGGCACCGCCCCACATGCCTGCGGCAGGGCAGGGGCCAGCCATGTGAAGAAATGGGGCATGGGCTCAAACCAGGAACAGGCTGAGCATGGCGGCAGGGGGGTGACTCTGCCTGCACCTGAACTGGGCGTGGCGGTGGGGGGTCTGCCCAGGGAAAGATGCAGCAGCATGTGCAGCCGCAATGTCACAGCATTGCAGCACCCACCCCACTCACTTGGCAAAGGACGCGCGATACACGAACTCCCTGCCACAGTGCGGGCATAGCAGTGCGGGCTTGCCGCCGCCCTGCTGCTGCCGCTCGTGCTCTGCCGGCCCCGGGGCGCCGGCCGCCATGCGCGCCCGCTTGGCTGCCGGCCCCGGCTGCTGCACCTCGCCCGCCTCGCCCTCCCCGCCCTGCTGCCGCGCGTCGCTGGCGACTGAGCACGTCGGGAAGTCGCTGTTGCAGCCGGCGGTGTCGTTGAGGGTGGCGGAGGGGGTCCAGGGTGAGTCCGGCGAAGCCGAGGGCGCGCCCGCCACCCCTCCCTGGCCCGCCAGGCGCTCCAGGCTGGCGGCGGCGTGGATGACGCCGTCGCCGTCGCTGCGCGTGTGCTGCAGCACCAGCGTGTCGCCGGCAGCGGCCCCCAGCGCCTCCAGCAACATCCCCACCCACCGCGACTGCAGGCAGGGGCAGGGCAGGCGATGCACGCGGTGAGTACCTCCTGGCAGGGCCAGCACCGTGCCATCGGCTGTGCCGTCTGCAGAAGCGCTGCGGCTCCAACGGCAAGCAGCACATGCAGGCTCCGAACACAGGGGCGCACAGCGGGCAAGACTGGGACGGCTGATGCCAGCGGGGCTCACCTTGAACGGGAAGCCATCCCGCCCCTCCTTGTTCAACTCCATCACAAATACCCCCGGCTCCGCCTCCAGCGCCTGCCCCCCCACGGAGATGCGCATGCGGGGCGGGCCGTGGCTGTCGTGCCACCCAAACCGCTGCCTCAGGACCTTGGCTGCAGGGGCCAGCGGTGCATGCACGTCTTGAGGGGTCCCGCAGCCAGCCAGATGGCGCCAGCAAGCGGCAGCTGCTGCCAGCACTCGTCGAGCATGCACCCCCTACATGCGGTTCCCAAGCTCACGCTTGATGTTGATCACGCGCTTCAAGACGGAAGCATTGATGCGGCGCCTCCAGGGCTGGGAGCTGGCGGCGACGGCAGCGGCGGCACCGCCAGGGCCTGCCCCGGCCGGCTCCTGCTCTTCCAGTGGTGGCGGAGGGCTGGCAGGCGCAGCATCAGGAGTGGAGGATGGCTCCAGCACGCTCAACTGCTCGGCTGCGCTGCTCACTGGCGCAGGCGCGGCAGGTTCGCCAGGCGCCGCGCCGCCTCCAACCCCGCCCCATTGCATGGCCGCCCGGCGCCGGCCAGCTGCTCTTCAGCCGAGCTCTGCAGCGATGCCGCACGTCGGCACACTGCGTGAGCGCAGCGGGAAGGAGGAGAGCGCGGTGTGGTGAAGTTCGCCTTCTGGACTTTTGAGTCGCGAGTGGCTGTTCGGCGGCAGACCCGTCAGAAATCACGCCGACGGCTTGCCAGGCGGAGCAGAGTGTGCAAAGAGCATTAGAGGGTTGTGAGTGTCAACATGCATGCACAATGCCGACCTGGCGGCAGGTCAATATTGCACAATTGCAATGCAACCTGTTCAATAACAGGTTGGTGTTTGCGTGCTGCTGCCCTGCATTTGCTGTGCTCCCAGCTGGGCACGAGCGCGACAGGGCTTACAGATATTGATCCCAGCGGAATGGCGGCGGGGCCCCGGGGCGGCGAGCAGGTCAAGTCCGGCAGAGCAGCAAGGGTGCCGGGTGCATGAGGAGCCCCATCGTCACAGCCCTTCAACTGCTCTGCCGGCTCAGCCATGCTCTGGCGCCGAATAGTAAAGCAGGGAAAGGATGCAGCATACTGCAGTGACCTCCGCGCCGGCGAGGCACAAGCAGGGGAGGGGACCAGGCAACAGCAACAGCGATCAACAAGAGGGAGGGGCAGGCTTGACATGAAAGGACAGGCAGGGCATGGTGTGATCGGATCGACGATTGTGTTCAGGATAGCAGCGGCACACAGGAGGCGCTAGGGGTGGGGCCTGGGTCAGAACGCCAGGGGGGCTTCGGCTCGCATGAAAGGACAGGCAGGGCATTGTGTGATTGTGTTGGTTGATCAACGGTTGGTGGTCCAGGCAGCAGAACAAATGGGGAAGTGCTGCGGCACAGGAGCAAGGCTAGCAGGTGGTGCAGCACTGTCGGGGGTCGTGGAGCAAGCAATGGGCAAAGAGGAAGGGCAATACAGCAGGGGGGGTATCGATATGGTACAGGCAGGTGCCGGCTTGGGGTCATGATCTGAGACAAGGTTTCGCGGTACAAAAGGAAGGCACTACTCCAAACACAAGGCACCCGGTGG